CCCCCCCCCCCCCCCCCGCCGACCACGAACTGTAATTCCCAAAAGCGGGATAATGATCCCTGAAGACGAGCAGAACAGCCCTGTGGCAGTCAGATTGTCAATCAATCCAACAACACTGGAACCGACAAAAAAGGAAAAAAAAGGGAGTTTTTTTTTTTTTTTTCGTTAATATTTCAGAAATATTCTTTCATTCATCTGCTGGTTCCATCATGTGGATTCGAAATTGGGTCTGTATTACAGTACTTCGGTGTACCAACTGAAGGCTCACTGGTAGGGAGGATTTTCTGGCAATAAGGGCGTCGTAGTAAGCTGTTCTTCCAAAACTTCAAAAAAAAAAAAAAAAAAAAAGGGGTGATACAGTTTACCCCCCCCCCCCTCTCCTTGTTGCCAGAAAATCCTCCCTACGTGAGAGCTCAGCGGGTTCCGCTTAAAAGGGTGATAAGAGCAGCAGCCCTCTTAAGCGAACCCCTACGTGTTCGGGTTTTTTTTTTTTTTTTTTTTTTTCAGGGTGATAAAAATAGCCCTCGTAAGCGACCCCCTGTGTTTGAAGTTTGAAGGCTCCACCTACTGGGCGGAGCGGGGGAGAAGAGCGGATGTCTTTGCAAAGAACGAGGATGAGGAGGGAAGGGAAGGGGAGGGGAGGGGAGGGGAGCTCACCCTTCATTTGAATTGACCATTTCTGGCCGTTAACCGGAACTACCGTCCTCGGCCGAGCACAATGCACCCGCATTTCATTTTGGCTGTACCTCACCGGAAATATAGCTTGTATACCCTCGCTATCAGGGTGCGTTATGTTCGGGGGAAGGCAATCGTCATTTATAGCCGTTGACCTTCACTACGGAAGTCATTTTCTGGCCGCTGAAATTTAATAAGCCATTTTTTCTATCCATTGAACTCCATACCATTTCTAACAGTACTTACCAGCCCCATTCCCCATTAGCAGATAGCCCGCCCTTTTTTATGTTAAAAAAAAAAAAATTAAAAAAAAAATTAAAAATTAAAAAAAAAAAAATTCGGACTGTTGATCGTCACAATCGATGACCCGAAACAGAGAATCTGGGTGGACTTGCGTATAATACCATTCAGAATAAAGTGCAGATATACTTTTTATTATTTCGAGACTTTTAGACAAAATTGATTAATTTATTTATTTATTTTTAGACGCGTATAATACCATTCAGAATGAAGTGCAGATATACTTTTTATTATTTCGAGGACTTTAGACAAAATTGATTAATTAATTTATTTATTTATTTTTAGAAGCGTATAATACCATTCAGAATAAAGTGCAGATATACTTTTTATTATTTCGAGACATTTAGACAAAATAGATTAATTTATTTGTTGATTTTTTACACAAAATTCATTGTCAACCGTGCTGATCCATGGATCCATTTTTTTCTTTTTCTTTTTTTATTCCATCCGTGAATCTTGACCGTCCTCAATAAACTGGCTTATTATGTGTGAGCTTCCCCCCCCCCTCCCCCCCTTCTTCTTAAAGTTGATCTTTGCAATCCATGGTCA